GTGGAGAGGTGACTCTGCTCACAGTCAGAATGTCTGTTTTTCTAGGTATTTTTGAGTCATAAATAGTGAAAACAATAATGATTTAGAAGAGAGTAGCCTTTGATAAAATGGAGATTACCTTTGTTGGTGATTATCCCAATTATATAAAATGTCCCTCATAATATAATGATCACGATAAATGCTAATATTTTTCACTGTTCATTCCCTAGTTTGCTATAAATCTTGTGAATCCCTTCTTCAAAGTCATAACCGAAACCATATTTGGAAAGTTCAGGTTTCTTGTCCAGAGGCAACCTGGAGATGGTAGCAACTACTATGTTATATTGTATTTATTAAAAGCCATAAATGAAAATACTTCTCCTAAAGCTGTGACAGACAGACGGCCAATCCCAAAGTATCAAATAAACAAAACTCCTATAGCCAAGGCCCCTGACAGTTTGTCTATTATAGCAATTTAACAATGAGTCAGTCAAAAACGTGTTCTGCCCATATTACATTTTGGACACAGTGTAATGTTTTGTCAGCTGAAGCCATAGTGTGGATTTTGTTTGTGCTGCCCTCTCCCTCTCTTTATATATATACAGCACAGTGGTTTGCACTCTCAGCACAAAGAGTTGATTCCAGAGCCGAGTGGGGGTCTAAGGTTGAATGTTCTCCTAATGTCTGAGTGGCATTTAGGGGAAGGGTAAAATGCAGAGGCCAAACAAAACAAAAACAAATAATAAGAATAAAAAAGCCATACACTTATAATGGACTGTAGTCATTATTCATTCACTCCATACTCAGTGATGGAGGGCTACTATTGCCACATCTGCCCTGGGGTAGATTGGCAAAAGCAAGGTTGCCAAGCTGCACCACTGGCCCCTCCAACCAACACAGATCAGTATGTACCCAGCACCTGGAGACATGAACCCTCAACACATTATGATCATATTCATTCCAGTCTAGTCTCGTACAGTCTGGCTATGCTTCCATTGTAGGGAATATTATACCTCTGATGAAGCTAAAATCATGCCTGAGCCTGCAGCGAGAGTCCTCAGTACAGCACAGAAATGGATTTTCTGTAACACGATGGCAGAATGTCGCAAACCTTCAATTTCTGGTTGATTCACGAGTGTCCTAACCACTGAGCCACTGCAGAAACACTGTAGAAGTCATGCCCACAGCCATTACCTCCTATCTGTAACCAGTGTTGGGTTTACTACTTTTTTTAATAAAAATAGTGCTACTACTAACAAAACGCACTAACTACTGAAATTATTATCATTACTACTATTGAAAATTTGGTAATGAAACACAGTTCCGTTTTCAATTCAGTGCAACTTTACTTTTCTCTGTACGTGGGCACAGTGGTTATAAAAGTGTGCTCGGTGGGGGCCAGCGACACCTGGGCAGAGGTCCTTCGAGGGCATCCTCTCACACCGGGCAGCCGTCCCATGCCCGCCATGTTGAATCCCCTGGGCAGACTGCGCGGACCCCACCGTCTGAGCGGTTTCACGTCTTCTTGAACTCTTTCTTCAAAGTTCTTTTCAACTTTCCCTTACGGTACTTGTCGAATGTTGGTCTTGTGCTGGTATTTAGCTTTAGATGGAGTTTACCACCAAAAATTACGAGTAACTAAAAAGTTCCATTGAGGGTAACTAATTAAAGTAAGGGATTACTTTTTAAAGAAGTAAAGCATAATGAGCAAACACTATTTTTTTGAAGTACCTTCCCTAACACTGCCTGTAACGTGCCCTGTCCATAGATTGTTCTGGTCATTTCTTTTCTTCCGCTGCCCTGTCCATTCGCACCAGGTCATCTGTGAGATCCACTGCTGGTTTTCAGACTGATGCACCTCTTTGGCTTTGTTCCGCTCCGTTGTAAATCTGCTTTGAACTCAACTCTGCTCCGACATCACTCCTTTTGCACTCCCCACCAAATGCCATAAATGTGCTGTAGTATATCTCCCAAATGTTTCTGTTTGCCACCATGTTGTTAGTGTAAAAGAAATCTGTAGGGCCAGCAAAACCATAACATTTATGTCCACGCACGGTCAAGAAGGACTTTATGTGTTACAATCAATCTCCATGCTAAAGCTTATATGTGCTAGCTGATAGCACCCAATGAAATGACCACTCTACAATATTAAATGTTTGGGCTATGTCTTTCCCAATCTGCATCTCCTCTTGTACAATATTATCCACTGTCAGCTATTGATTACAACTGACCATTCTTTCAGACAGTCTTTTCTACAATTAACTTTTTATGCATTTACATTAAACCACCAATATCGATCTAATTCACCCTTGGGAATGCTACCTATCTGGCTTTTCATTTTATGGAGCCTGGTGGGTAAAAGGTAGGTCTTATTTAATCTCCATTAAAGATAATAAAGCAAAAGCAGCTCTTGGGGTCAAAATCAGACCACTGTGCTCTGTCTGTATCTCATTTATATGTTATTTTATCTGGTATAAATCAGGAAGTAATGTTGGTGCAGACTAGTTCCCAGTTGTTGTTGACTACGCAGTAACTCCCAAACTCTGCTCGGGCCTCTGAAAGTTGTAAAAATCACTCGTTGCAGTGAATAATTAGGATACTAGGCTTAGCTTAAGAAATTGTTATATATGTTAAAAGGAACTCTTTCTGTTTTTCATGTTTTTAAGACAGTCCCAGTGCTTTTAAATTACTAACCTACTTAATTATAAATCGGTGTGATCCTTCATTTGGCTATAAGGTCCATGGTAGGAAAGGTTTCAAAAGCATTTCAACCAGAAGTAATTTTGAATCTGAAGGTTCTGGCCCGAGAAGTGTCCTGGGGAAGGAGTTATAATCTGAAAGGATTTTGTCTTGCCTAGCAGATAACAAAGAACAGAGCCGCTTCCTGCCAATACTTTCAGACTGACTACTCTTTACCCTTTAAGCCTTTTCTATGACTTACTAATACTTGACCACACAAACTAACAGTGGTTCTCGCTATAATACAGACTTCTTTGAACCACTGAACCCATTCATCAAGTTCTTCTGGACACAAAAAAATGGACTTTTTTTACCTTCTCAAACGTACCTGGCGTTGTGTTTTGTTTCATTCACACAAGTTTCCGTAAACCTATTTTACTAGGCTGTTGTCAAAATGCTCTTTTCTACCTTGTGCTGTTGTGTAAGTATTTATGTTAATAGCTACCTTTTGTTCAGTAGAGATCGGCGATTCCAGGGCTGGAATTATCTAAATGATTCTAGTGAAGATATATGGGTCTTAAAAACACAGTGGAGCACTTTCTGGATTATCACATGACATCACTGTTTGAGAGAAGGACACAATCTAAATATACAGAGTTTGTGTGTTAAATGTGTAAATGAAACAAAACTCCATGAGGAAACATTATAACAGATCAAAAAATGATTTATGTATAAATATTGTAAATTGCTATTGTAACTGTAAAAAGACATTGTATACATGTAACCATTGTCCCTGGTGTCCCGTCATGCAGTCTAAGTAACTTGTCGACACGCGATGTCCTCCAGCTGTCTGGGCGGGTCTTCCTCTTGTCTCCCCTCTCAGATTTACCCACCAGAGGGAATAGCTATTTCATCTCCTGTTATTATTTGCCATAAAAATGCAGTGAACGGCAGTGAACACGGAGGTGCTATAAAAAGCAGCGGGGTGTGCAATGGCGGTGCTGCGTCATCCATCAGATACACGGCGAAACATCAGGCCTCTCCGCCGGCCAGCGAGAGGGGAAATTGATTTTTGTGTAAGTCCCAACGATTAGGGTGTGAAAGAGGAGCAGGGGCGCAGGGCAGAGGAGGCGCGTGAGCAGGAGATGGGGATGGGGCTATGAGCGGAACACACGGTGAAAGCAAATGTTTTGTAAGGAGCTTATAGTGAAGAACTCATAGCTTTACCAAGGGGGACACGTTCAGAGAAGAGGACACGCGTCGATTAGAAGAGGCTTAATACAGCATGTGCGTGTGGCTAAAAGGTACTACTTACGGTGCTGCTAAAGCCTTCTGACAAAAGTTCCCACATTCCTTCACCGTAAGCATCACAGTATTTAAGAAGACCTATAGCGCTTGTGCTGCTATATACTTTTAAGCTATGAAAACCATGGATCATTATCTTATATTTTGCACATTTTAAATTGCAAAATTAATCTAAAATGACTTCATAAAACAAACAAGTCCTAGCCATAAATGTCATCACATCTTTCTATCGCCAATGGAAAGATGCAGATCACACTAGTGGGCAACTAACTCTAAACCTCATGCAGCATCTGACAAACCAGCTTGAGATCTGTTTCTATGCTTGGTTAACAGTGCTGCAGTATTGTGCATGTTTTACTCTGATTGAATTGAACTCATGACCTTCTTGCAGTGATGCGACAATGCTACCCCCTTACCTGGAAGATACTACAGTATAGTAACTAGTATAGTGCTTTCTTTAAGAGTGTAAAATTGTGTTATTGTACATTATTCACACTAACATAACATTTTGCAAAATGTGGCTGGCATGTGAATTCTTGTTTTGAGATCTGAAACAATAAACACAAACAACTACTACAGACATTTAAGAGAACAACATAATGTTAAAACTAATTTGTTTTATTTTTTCTTAATACAGAGGGTAAAGAGTAATGTTTGGAGGGGCTTTAGCGCTGGTAGTGCCTGGGTGCCTCCTCTGCTCCTCCACTACAGTCGCTCCTTTTAGGTGGCTGGATGTATCTCCACCAATTCCAATACCAGTGGTTTCAGAGTCCCTGCAAGAGTCAGGATCCAACCTGTTTATGTTTCTCAGCTCAGCATTATTATATTGTCCTGTGCATTTAGTTGTTCCTTTATCTTTTCAAGGACTTTACTGGTGCTGGGTAGCTCTTGTTTGAGCTGGACATTTTCTCTCACTGAACTGTTATACACATCACATCTCCTTGTATGTGTTCATTTAGGTTTCCAGCCTTTGTCTTTCTTCTGGAGAGAAGCATTTGAAGAAGTAGAAGAGTTTTTGCATCTCCAAATTGTCAGTCCTACTCCTGACTTTTTTGAAGTTCTTGCTTCAGCTGCACATTTAGCTGTACTGTAGAGTTGTACAGGTACCAGAACTCCTTATGTGCATTAATCTGGTCTTGCAGTTCTTTGTCTTTCTTCTGGAGAGAATCATTGTGTTTTTTCAACTCCAAGTCTTTTTCTTGGTTGATTCTCTCCTGAGATCTAAGCTTGAGGTCCAAAGAATTGGTTATTTGGACCTGATCTGCAAGTTTGTCCCTTACACCCTGACCAGAGCGCTCTACTCCAGGGGCAGAAATACCTGGACCACCTGCACCTTTCTCCTCTGGATTTGAGGGCTCCTGGATGTTGGGAGACACCAGTTGGGTCTCCTGTGGCTCTTGACCCTGTTGGTGTCGTAGAGGTGGGCGTCATCCTCTGATGTGTAGAGGTACCAGGGTCAGTGTGCTGAGAGGTTATGAGCCAAACAAGATAAGTGTCTTTTTAGAACACAGTATTCATTTCAACAGTGATCAAGGATTTCATATTCTAATTATGGAATGATTTGCAAATGAGAAAGTAACTATTCTAAACAAATCATATCATACTATAACACTATATTATATTATTAATATCAGACACTAAAACACATCATTATCCTTCTGTTAAACGTTAGGACAGTGTTTAAGATAATCTGCATTCATCTGTGTTGAAAATATGTGTGCTTTATGTATGTACTGTATCTATAAATATTACTAATACATATAGCTAATGTTTTCTATTTATTCTGTTTGTAATTCATCAGTTGCTCGTGCTATCATTAAATTAATTACATTTTAATGGCTGACACTGCATTTGGGCATCAATGGTGAAGAATGCCAAAAGGTTGTGTGTTTGGGTTTAGTAAACCGCTCATTGATTACATTTTAAACAGCACATAATAAGCCCTGATTTTACTATCGCATTTTTAAAATTACATTTGTGTGTTTACAATACAAAAACCCAAACAGCAGAACCACACAATTTCACAAGAGGAAGTAGGGAGCTCTGTTTGTGTAAGTGGATTTATTAATTTATCAGAAAAAGAGTTAAAACCATATACATAGAATAGAACACACTGTAATTTGAATACAATTAAAATCATATTCAGTATACATCATAAAACAAAGTGTAAATATCATTTCATTTTTGCCCAAGCTAGATACCTCACAAGAGAGAAATGTGACCTCCTTTTAAAAGATGAGCATCTTGAGCTTAAGGCTGGACTGAAAAAGAGCATGAAGGTGTCAGAATCCTTAAGATAAAGTGTCGTTGGATGATTCTTCAGCAGAAGAATCCGTTAGCTGAGCGGCTGACAGGAGGCAAGGTCACTTTGTGAAAGCTCAAACTTTTGTATTCAAACCACACGAAACTTGCAAAAGCAGAGATTGACGGAGAATGTTCCTGGAGAGTGCCATTCATCAAAACCACAAACTTCTTTGTTGAAATGTTGTTCAGTCTGCACTTGGTGAACCCCCTACAACATGCTGCTAACTGAACTATATAATCTTTACTCAATATACTTTTAATGTATAATATAATCTCTTTTATAATGAAATACAGCCTACTGGAACTTTAGGAGGAAATGGATCTAGAAGAAATTTGAGCCTTGTTGGTGATGACATGATGACTGATTCAGGGTTCCCAGGCTTTGGCAACCCAACCTGCACAAGAGCATCTGAAAAACAAGACTTCTTTAATTTGATTTAATTTTATTATCAGTATGATGAATGCTTAACTTTCATAACATGTTAGTTTGCTGTGTGAGATGCTTGTGTGCTGTCTGGATACTCTCCCACAGCAGAGCACAGCCCCCCGCCCGCTCCCTGTATTGGCTCAGCACTGCTCTAAAGTTTGGTTTGATCTGGATCTGTACAAAAGCTGCTCATTCACATGAGGCCATTTACAGTGATGTCCTAAAGTGTGTTTTCTTACCCTGTGTGAGGTCCTAATGCTGTGATGTTGGATTTCCTCACCCGTGTCCTTTCTGTAATCAGCTCCATTTAATTTTGTGACCAAATTATTCCCATTGTGCCGCTTTGGTTAGTTTATAAAGTTGCCTGGTAATGAGGCAAAGATTGCAGACATTACCCACGCTGGCAGTGCTCTTAAATGCTACATTGGTCGCAAATTGGTTGAGATGTCATCACCATATATTTACCTGTACCACTCCAACCTCCAGCAGCGAAGTACAGCTCAACCTGGACACACCCCCTCCTTAACTTTAGCGCTAGTCCTAAGATCAGGGGCAAGATCAGGCCCAAGGTGTTTTCATAATAAATTGGTAGGCTATAGGTGAAATGCTAGTACAACTTGATATACCTGGGCAGTTTGTCTATTGTTCTAGCAAGTACAAACCCATGCAATTTCTATGCTAGCATCTTTTAAAGGTGCACTGTGTAATGGCCCTGTCTCACCTTGACGATTTAGCCAGCGTATGACGATGTACCAGACTTTCCCTAAAACACTGGCATACGCTGAACTATCAGTGTTTTTTTTTTTCAATTTTGGGGGTATACATAGCGTATTCATAACGAGTTGGACATATAGTGTATTCGTAACTTATATAGAACATTTTGATAACTTATATGCTTAGCGTGTTGCCAGGATCCACAACTTATGCCCAACTTATGCATAGCACACGCAAGGCTCAAGTGCCATCGCCTATAAAAGAAAGGCTGCAGCTAGACAATTCATAACTGCACTAGACATCGCAGTAGCAACAATGTGATCTCTTCTTCTCCTGGCTCTATAGGCATGTAAGTGGTACAGTGACAAATCGAGGAGATTCCCCATTTTTATTTACCAATTTCCCTACACGCTGCCAATACACAATTATACGGTAGCTATAAGTTAGAAACATGTTCTGTAAGTTCTGTGGTCGTCAGAACACGTCAAATACATCTGCATGCGTCAATATGTGTTGGAGGTAAGTTCGATACAGTTAAACACAGGTTCAAAGCAAGTTACTCATAAGTTATGGACACGCGAGACAATATCTCAACACATTTGGATTTATAATGTATGTGAACGTGTGTCAACAATCACACATAATTTACCTACAACTTATGGCCCACGTATGCAGGAGTTATAAACATACGCTGACATACGTTGAGAAATTTTCAACATATGCAAAATTTTTCGACGACCTTGCCGTATGTCGATGTATGCCAAGGTGCTTCAGCGTGCTCATAACTTATACAAAATTTACCTATAACTTATTTGACGTACGCCAGTGTATTTGTCAAATTTTTCATACATCGGCATACACTGGCCAAAGCATCAAGGTGTAACAGCCCCATATCTTGTTTCCGTCATCTGCTTGTCTCCGTTGAGATGTGCCTAGAATGTTCCACAGTATGGCCATAAACTTAAGAATTGCAAGCCAAATTACAGGTTAGATCTGTGGAGAGCTGACCCCACTAACAGCAAGGATGGATGTTTTTTTAGGATATTTTTGAGCAATAAATAATACCTGTACTAGAATAATGCAATACAGATTAGTTTAATACAATTCTGTGGACAATTTAAACCAAAGCATCACATCAGGTTGGCATCCCTCTCCAGAAAAGTTACACAGTGCACCTTTAATGCTGTCTCTTTTCACATTTTCAAACATGCTCAACCATTTACCAACGGTATTAAACCAAATCATATTTCTAGTGAAGCTCTCCCACCAAAATATAGCCTATTGGAAAAAATATCGCTTCGTGCATGTAATTTGGCTTTCAGGAGGAGCCTTCAGCCTTGAAAATTGTGATTCCCAGCTCCATTGGATCTGCGCTCGTATACAGGCGGTAGATGTGTAGCAAGCTTTGCCAAGTCGGTGCATTTCTTTGGCCTTATCTCACATTCATTCACCATGCATCATCATCCGAGCTCCCAACGCCACTGTAAGCTATGATTCAGCGCACTATTCTTATCATGCGCTGACCTCCTCGCTCGCTTCTCCAATAAGCATAACCGTATCTGACAAGGCTGCAGCTATTGAAGGAGCGTGGATGCTAGTAGGCCCCCTCCAGATAGCTCCCCGTCCTTCTGTTCTCTTGGCCAATTTCCACCAGTGCTGAAGCCTCCTTTTGCATTTCGCGCCTTGGAGCTTATTTGGTTTGCTTTTCCCCTTTTTTTATCCTCGTCCTGGAGCGTTCCCCATCAACAGGCAGATGAGTAAACACTGTAGTCTTTGAGTTGCTTCAAGAAGTGTTGCCAGATCTGTCATTTTGAGACTTTGAGTTTTGATATTGGCCAATTGCATTTCTTTTATGAGTTAACTAGGATTAGGAGGTCCCAAATTATTGCACTAAATTGACTGTTGTGTTTGTTAAGCCATGTTGTAATGCTGTTACCTCATCAAAAACATACCCGGAGTTGTGTTTTGTTTCATTCACACACATGTTTGAGTAATCCTTTATTTATTAGTCTGTCTGCATCTCCAAAGCTCAAAATGCTCTGTTCCACCCTGTGATGTCATGTAGTGATAGTTTTCAAGTTTGCAGCTTCCTTTTAGCTTTAGTTTAAAAGAGATAGGCAGTTCCAGGGTAGAAATTACCATATTGTCCAGACTATAACGCGCACTGGATTATAAGGCAATAACAATAAAGATAAAGATTCTCTCGTCTATTTTCATACATAAAGTGCACCGGATTATAAGGCACATTAATCGAAACAAAACAGTCAGATAAGTCAAACTTTATTCAACTCATTCACAATAACTCTCAACATTGTTCAGATCTAACACATACACTCACTTTTTCAGTTCATTCCTTCCACAAATCCATCAAATTCTTCATCTTCAGTGTCTGAGTTTAACAGTTGGGCAACTTCGGCATCAAGCCCGGATCCCTCTCGTCATTATCCGAGTCACTCTTATTGCTGTTACTTAGCTGTTCAATGATGATGATTCCTTTGTGAAAGCTTGGACGACACTTGAGACTGATCCCTTAGCCCAAGCTTCCGTCATCCATTGGCAGATTGTGACGTAACTCATCTGGCGTTGCCTCCCTGTCTTGGTGAATGTGTATTACTCCACAAGGCTTCTGACTACAGTAGCCGTAATGCTCCGACAATCCATCAAGCAGTGTGGCTTCGTAGCTTAACAAAGTTGTATTAACACATTCTGAGAGATTTTTGAGTGCCATGTACCACATAAAATCGGTTCAAGGTCAATAAGCACAACCAGATTAATATGTAAGGCGCACAGAATTTTGAGAACATTAAAGAATTTTAAGTGTGCCTTATAGTCTGAAAAAAAAAAAGGTATGAAGGAGTATGGAGTTTAAAAACACAGTGGAAAAACTTCCTGTATTCTGTATTACCACATGACATCACAAGGTGGAACAGAGTGTTTCCAGTTTGAGAGAAGAACTCA